AGGGCTAAGCAATCTGCTCGGGTTTGCTCTCAGGAGCTTTTGTTCCCTGCAAGCTTTCCCTACAGCTTTGGAGGATGAGAGTGAAAATGGTGGCCTCCCAATCTCCACCCGGAGGAGCCGAGAACTCGGGGCCCCGCTCCTCAGTGCGCCCCCAGAGAAAAGCAGTCACTCCCGTCTCCCCGGTCTCCGGCCGCACTCCGTGCTCACCCGGCCTGTGACCGAGCGTTTCTGTCTCTGGCACCTGACCCCGTGTGGAGTCTCCAAACCCAGCAGATCCCTGCGGTGCGCTCCCGCGCCGCTCCTCCCAGGGGAGGAAGGGGAGTCTCCCCGGCTCTGCCGCTTGTTGGGTCCCTGCTGGAGGAGCAGTGGCCCAACTGTCACCGATCACAGTTTATGGCAACCCCGAGCTGAGAGCCCGCGACTCTGCTCCGTCTCTGCAGCCGGCTTCCCCGCTCCGATCCCTGGGAGCTCTGCCACACTCAGGCACCCCTGGTCTTTCTGTGACCCCGAGGGTCCTGAGTCCGCACTGTCCCGCGAGGGTTCCTCCCCCCGCTTAGCCACTGGAGCGACGTCCCTCAGCGGAGTCGACTTCTAAAAAGTCCGATTTTGTGCTCCGCGGCTCTAGCACTTGCCAGAAGCGGCCAATGGAGGCCCCCTCCCCCGCCGTCTATCCTCCTGAATATCGCCTCGAATTCACTTCTCCACACGTCCTACCTTCTAGAAAGTGGTCACTTTTCTGTTCAGAAAGTTGTTGCTATTCTTTTCTTCGATCTCCTGTTGAGTTCGTAGGTGTTCAGAATGGTTTGATCCCTATCCAGCTGAATTCCTGAGGCCAGACGAAATCCAGGTCTCCTACTCCTCTGCCATCTTGCTCCTGCTCTGAGATTCTTAATCATTCTAGTCCACAGTTAGTACAGAGATGAAGCTGGTAAGCTGTCCCGGTGGAGCAGGAAATCTCCACCGTCTAGTCCAGCAGCTGGGCTAGCCAGCATCTGGTGTTTACCCATGACAGCAGTGAGCAGCAACCGCTGGGAGCTCTGCGTTGTGAGGTAAGATAGAAATCTCTTCGTGAAGTGCAAAAACCAGCCAGTGGCGTTGCATTGTACGGTGTCCAAATATGCCTCTGTAGACTGAGTTGGATTTATGTTCCACGTGCAGATTTGTAGTTCTGAACAACTATCTCATATGGACTATCCCATTTCTCAACATTGTAGATAACTGAGATGTAGCGTTTGTTGTAGACTAGAAGGCATCTGTTTTCTTTCCAAGTTAGTTCACACAACCAGAAATTCAGATATAACTCTGAAGCCTGTTTGTCTTTTTTTTTTCCTGTTGATTTTCAAGAAACCAACTCTTTAATTTTAGGCAGAAGAGGGATGTTGGCTATGACCTTGGCTTTTTCTTGCATGTGTAGAACATTAAGTACCGTTATTTTCCCTCTCAACACCAAATGGCTTTCTGAATGTGCACTGCTTAATTGCCTTTTTCAATTGAAAACACTTTGAAGTTCTAGTGTAATTAAGAAAGTTTATTTTTGTGGAATAAAAACAGTAGCAAGTCGATTTTCCTTAAAACTAAGTTGCAAAGATTGTTTCGTGTCAAATAGGAGGTGTTAGGTCCCATGACAAGTGTGAGCCTTTGAGGTTGATGGGACTCAAATCCAGTGTCTCCCACGGAACAGTGTTGAGGTGGCAGGGAAGAGTGAATTGTCTGTGCCCAGGTTCGCTCGTGTGAAACAGGAATTCCAGGAATAATGCCTTCCACAGAGGGCCATTTGGGGATTGCCTGAGGTCATGTATGTCGAGTCTTAGCGCAGCGCCTTGTTTGCACTTGAGTACTCAGGACTATTAATTTGTTCAGACTGTTTCTTCAAAGGCGCCTCCATGCTATAGACTTCAGTCTCTGTAAGTAACATTTTAGGAGCCCCCCTACGCCCCTCCTCAAGCCCCCCCTTCCTCAAGCCACAGGCTGGCCCTGACCTGAGGGAGGAAAGGAGGCAGAGAATCACTCGGATGCCCTCGGGCCCATAGGGAAAGCCATGGAATATTCGGGAGAGGTCAACGGCTGACAGGGAAAAATGTACAGTCGACATTACCTGTTAAAGGGAAGGAGCGTGGTTTCCACTTTGAAAGATGAAAAATACTGTAGCAAACTTGAATTTTCCCTTAAAAGATCACTGCTGACCTTCAGTAACCCTGTCTGGAAGCAATCACTTTTTTCCTCCTTAGGTCTCTACATTGCTCTAGACAACAATTACTTGGGGGATATTTCATTTCTCATTTTATGTCAGCCTTATATAGTTTGTGTGCTTATGTTTACATATTCCTATCTGAGGAGCAAACAGAAGGCATCTTGGATATATTGGATTTGATGACTCTTCAAGAATCTAAATGGGAACTGGATTGCATTCTAAGTGGGTCGCATTCTGACCTGTGGCCGAAGCCCCGCAAGCCATTGGTGATCTCCAGTACTCTCCAGTACAGCTGAGGGCATTCCCCGTGCAGGGAGAACACTTGGCAGCAAGCAGTTGATGAAAGACGCTTTTTTTGGAAGGCTCCTGAACATTCCTTCTACTCCCCAAGGAAATTCTATTAAAATTACCACTCTTTATTATACTTAGCTAAAAATATTCATCACATAGCCTCATAAGTGCTCAATTAGGTTGAATATTTATATATACATTAAAACTTAGCCGTGGCTGTATTTATGAAGTGTAAGGGAGCACTAAGTAAATGTCCTCCTCCCCTTACAGGAAGAACCACTCGGCTGTGGAAACAGTGGTAGGATTGTGCATGTTTGTTTTTGGGGTGGGAATTTTTCTTTCTTTTTTCTTTCTTTTTTTCAATGCTGTTGCGCCTTCCTTGTGGAATGCAGACCCAGGGCCCAGAGGGGCAGGGAGCAAGGTTGGAGATAATGAGGGAGCAGAACAAGGGGCAGGTGAGGCCAGGAAGCCTCTGCCAGGAGCCGGGCTCAGTAACCCCCCTTCCTCCCAGGGGGCTGGTGGGGGACTGGCCAAGAGCACCATGTGGATAGACGGGCGGTCCTCGGGAGGACTCACTGGTAGAGTGTAAGCACCCAGTATGATAAAGCCCTGATGCTGGGGGCTTGAAGCATGAGCAGGGTACAGGCTATGGATTTGTTTAATGTCGGCTGGCAGATGTGTATGTGGTGGTCTTCTCTTCGTATTCTTCTAGAGAAAAACAGCCACTCGGAGGAGGGAAGGAGGTGGTGAGTTGTCTGTGGGAATTCTTATTACTCTCTCTGCCTGCTTTCCAAATAATTGTATTTTAGCTATGATCTCTCTAGTTTGGGGCAAGGAGGTAGTGTGTAATTTTCATTAATAGTTTCCTAACAACCAGGGGCACCTGGGTGGCTCAGTCGGTTAGACATCAGCCTTTAGCTCAGGTCATGATCCCGGGGTCCTGGGATCGAGTTCCGCATCGGGCTCCCTGCTCAGCAGGAAGCCTGTGTCTCCCTCTCCTTCTGCTGCTCCCCCTGCTTGTGCACTCTCTCTCTCTCTGTCTCTCTGTGTGTGTCAAATAAATAAATAAAATCTTTAAAAAAAAAAAGTTTCCCAAAAACCAAAGGTGGAAAGTGGCATTCTATAACAGACGTCACACCCAGGGCCTGTATTTTCACAGGTAGCTGGGGTAGAGCGGGAAGAGCATTGGAAGATGGGTTCAAGTCCCGGCCCCGACACCTGCCTTACACCATTATCACACCTGAACCCATTTCTCATTCACGAGGCTCCCTTAACACCTGTCTTGCCCCACGTTGGGCTCCGTGCTCAGCAGAGAGTCTGCTTCTCTTCCTTTCCCTCTGCCCCTCCCCCTACTCATGCTCTCTCTCTCTCTCTCTTTTTCTCTCAATAAAATAAGTAAAAAAAAAATCTTTTAAAAAAAAGAAATAGTAAGAAGAGGAAAAGTTGTAACTATAAAGAATGAACATATATTGGTCATCAGTTTGGCTTTAGGTTTTGTTTTATTTGTTCACCCAACAGATAATTGAGTGGCCAGGCACTGTGTTGGGTGCTAGAGAAATTAAATGCCGTCATCCATGTAGAAGCTCCGAGCGTAATAGTAACAGAAGGCAGGAAAGCATGGAAACCAAATATGTACCCAGTGTGTTGCATGTGACTCCATGGGATCCGGGTCTGGCGGCTAAGAGGAAGTCATCTGAAAGGCTTCGTAAGGAAGGTTAGTCTCACAATTTTTGAAGACGGTAGAGGGTGTGATTTCACAGAAAGAAGGCTGTGGGGGGCAGGGAAGCAAGTCTCAGAAAACCAAATGAACCTCTTTGGGAGGGTGAACCCTTGTAAAGTCTGATTCCAAATTTGCTAAGGGGAAAAAAAAAACAACACAAGGGAAATTGCATAATTTTGAGAAAGGAATGATGTAAATATAATGTGAGTGTGGTTCTATGTGGGTTTTTTTTTTTTTTTTTTTACTTTATCCATTAGGTTAGGAAAGATTAAGGCAGGTCACCTATTAAAGAGTCTCAGTTAAGCTTTTTTAAGAAGTCAAAACATTTTTTAAGACATGCTGCTTATTAACCCTAGATATGAAAGATTTATAAAAGGCAAAAACTACAGTGATATCCCAGAAAAATCTTGGCTCTTGTTCTGAAAATCTTGAAATAAAATGTTTTCTGGAACATTAATTGGAAGACAGCTTGCTATCACCAAATTGTTAGTCTGCGGTAGAAATTCAAAACTGCTAACAGATGCCTCCTACAGATTTTTAAAATATGGAATTATTTCAGCCAGCTACCAAACCATTGATCTATGTAACTCTTTAAAACTATGAAATATGCATATAAATCTACATAACTGTTCAACTGAGAAAAAAAGTTCCTCTTTGTACTATCTACCATAAACATCTGATTTCCAAACTGAGCCTGGCTTTGACTAGAATTTAGCTATTTAAATTAACTCAAGAGTTTACCTAAAAGCAATTTACAGCAAGTTTTTTAAAAATAGTGTTTAAATTTTAGTCCTTGACTAATTTAGTCATTAACTACCTGTGTGACCTTGGGCAGGTTCCTTAGCATGCCTAAGAAATGCCCAGGGTTCCTTTAAGAGCATGCTTCCACCCTGAGCACTTGAGATTTGTACAATGCACATATTATCTATATATGTTGTTAGAATATTTAGGAAAACTCCCCAACTATTCACATTAGTTAGTTCATGAATTTACTGAGGCATATGGGGCCAGGCCCACTCTATGCCCATTTATATTAATCATATTTGCTCCCATGTTGAGTTAAATAGGACGGGGGAGGCAAAGAGAAGGCCTTCAGGAGTTAGACTCCACTTCCGGACACAGCTGCCAGTCAACCCAAAATAGGAGCTCAAGGGGAGACATTAGCATTTACTCCCTGTACCATTGGTGGTGGAGAGAGGGGTGACCTAAGTTAATACACACCTGCCACCCCCCAGCCCCCACTCCAGGCACCCAATCCAGCTGACCAGGTGCCTCTTTAAAAAAATAAACAAATGTATCTTTCTCCTATTTTTATAATAAAAATTTTATAATAAATTCTAATCATGAACCTCCTAATTTTGCAAAACTTCCCTTTTGTAATTTTTTAAACTTTTGCTAAATATTAAAGAGTATCTGTTCCATCGTATAGATAATATATAGATAAAATTGGGTCTCAGAATATGCAGATTCTATTTCTATTATTATTTCTACTTTAAAAATCATGCAAGTAATGCATATAGTAGATAAAAATATAAGATAGAGGTAAGTATGGAAAAAATAAAATCACCTGTAGTCCTGAATCTGGGCATATTTTTTTTTATTCCTAAAAGTATAGAAGGTGTTTGTTTGCCATACAGAATACATGAATGTATAGAATAAAACACTGCAAAAAGAAAAAGGTTTTCACTTGAAACTAATATAATCTTATGTCAACTATACCTCAAAAAAAATAGATCAAAATTAAAAAAGCAATTGGAGAAAAGGATGAAATAATATGTATAAACATTAGAAAACCAGTTGTTAAATCTCTTTAAAAACAAAAAAAAAAAAGGAAAGGGGGCACCTAGGTGGTGCAAATGGTTAGGCGTCCAACTCTTGGTTTTGGCTGGGGTCGTGGTCTCAGGGTGATGGGATCGAGCCCCACGTCGGGCTCCACACTCCACACAGAGTCCAACTCAGATTCTCTTTCTCTTCCTCTGCCCCTCCCACTCATGCTCTCTTGCTCTAAAAATAAATAAATCTTTTAAAAAATAATAGAATAAATTTAGAATATTTAGAAAAGAAAAACTGTTCAGAGAGTATAAGACCATGTAGGCTGGAGGAAGCGTCTGCGTTCTGACGTCCCCCAGAGCTGCGCTTTTCCCAATCTTGCCAGCCCTGGGTTTCTTTGGGCCACCGGCTTCATCTCTCTGAGTCTCGCTGCAAAAATGGGAATACTGATGCCCATGTGTCCAGAGTGCTGATGGCAATTTATGGTGGAGGCCCCGCGGGAAGTAAGTGGGTGGCTGTCATCGTTCCAAAGTGTGTGGGCAAGCGCAATGCTGGCACCGAGCCGTGTGGCAGGCCTGCCACTCGGACTGTGACAGTTTGGGGAAGACAGCTCTCAAAGGGTGCAGGGGTAAATTCAGTGGCTAGACTCTCACAAAGGGAAGCTGACCCAAGAGGGATGATAAAGTCAACAATGGAATCCTGCTAATATATGCAAAGTGAGCCTTATCCTGATGAGAAAGAAACAAGGTCTTTGTGCAGAGGACACTTATGAGGAGAAGATGCACGGTCCCAGGTGACCGTGAAAGGGTAGAACAGCACTCTGGAAAGCCAGGCAGGAGGGTGCAGGCTGGCTTGAGATGCGCTTCTGTCACATACTGCAGACAGGAATGGTGTCTCTCAGGTGTGGCTCAGAGTGGAAACAGTGAGGAAGGCAGAGGCCCACTGCTCAGGGCCATGGCGGGATCTTAATAGACAAAGCTCAATCTCTACGTAAGAGGGAAAAGTCTACAGTCAGAGGACAACGAGAAGGCCCTAGTTCTTCTGAGTTGCCCTGGCCTTGAAAAACTGCATCCCTGGGAACAAGAAGAATTTATAGGTTGACCTCAAAATTGCTGTAAGACCCAGAAATTGTGGTGAGCAGAAGAGTTGCCTATGCTTGGAACGAGGCAAATGTTTTGATTTTCAAGCAAAGAGAAAGGTAGTGCCAGTGAACTTGTCATCATTCCCAGCATGATGCTGAAAAGAATTCATTAAAAGTTTTGTCAGCTGTTAAAAAAAAGGGGGGTGGGAGATTCTGTGTCCCAAAGGCACTGGCATAGGTTCACTAAGAAGAATTCCTGCCAGAAATAAGATTGCAGCTTTTCCAGAGCGTCGTTTGATTGGCAGATGAAAAATGTTCTAGATGCTCCGTGTTAGGATGTGAGTGAGGTGTCTGAGAAAGTCGCTAAAAATGTATTTATGAAAAGGGTGGAGACATAGGGCCTGGATGGTAGTGCTGGCTCATACCACCCCACTTGGAGCACCTGCTCGTGGACTGGTGTCAACCCTAGAGGTGGGCCTGCTGGAGGATGGCCCCCAGGCTCCTGGTAGAGCCCTGGGGGGAGACCCTCTCGACCTGCCGTTGTCGGACAGCGTGGAGCAGAGATCAGAAGCCCAGCCGGGCTCACGGGGAGGAAAGCAAACCCGACTGGGCACAAAAAGAAGCACCAGAACAAAAATGAGGGGAGCAAGGGACAAAGACACCTGGGAACAAGGAGGAGCAGGGCCGCCACGGAGGGTCCTCACGAGGAGGTATCCTTGCTGTGGCAGCGATGTCTTTGCTGGGCACTCTTACAGCCTGGCACTGGCCCATTTAAAGAGTCCCAAATGGGAAACAGATTTCTTTTTTTTTTTTTTAAAGATTTTCTTCATTTATTTGAGAGAGAGAGAGAGAGAGAGAGAGAGAAAGAGAGCACAAGCAGGGGGAGGGGCAGAGGGAGAGGAAGAAGCCTTCCCCTGCTGAGCAGGGAGCCTGATGCGGGGCTCGATCCCAGGACCCTGGGATCATGACCTGAACCGAAGGCAGACGGTTAACCCACTGAGCCACCCAGGTGGCTGTCGCTGGGAGACAGATTTCTAACCTCAGATTTGCCCTCGTCAACTTATTACTGATTTGAATGAGGAAATGGATATCACGCGTGCACATTTACTTAAACCAGTAAGCTATGCGAAGGTGGAAGAGAGAACTAAAATGTTGTATAACATTTTATGTATCTGCGTCCAGATAACTCAGCTGTTGGCAAGTGTGAGATCAAGCGATCCTGCTTAATAGTAACCCCTGGGACTCCTGAGTGGCTCAGAGTGTGGTTCAAGCTGAGATGGGTGGCGATCCTTGACAGTGCTGACCTGCTCCACACAGATCAGACCACAGCTGATGTTTTCAATTCAGTTCCAGTTTGCATACATTAAAGGACATGTTTCAAATGTGTCCCTAGGAGAACGATCCAGGTTTGGGGAAGTCTGTACAAGTCAGATGAGGATGAATATGCTTACCCTGGAGAATATTTCTGCAGGTCTTCTGGCCCCTGGCTGACAATAAGTGAGGGGCAATAGAAAGATTGGACTTATCTTTGGTGACACCGGAGGGATAGATTCAAGCTGCCTCACCCTTGAGGGTGCCCAGAAAGAAATGGAAGCCTCAGGAGAGAGGCCCAACCCCTGGAGAGGCTGCCTGAACAAAGGCCACTTTCAAGGATGGGAGACAAGTCGGGGGTCCACGGAGGCATCCATCTGATGACAAGCCCCTTCAGACTTGAGATTCTGTGGTTCTGGTTCTGTCTTCCGTACTTCCGTGTAGTCGTGGTTACGTAAAGCATCAGGTGTAAGTTCTGAATCATTGCTGTCAAAGGTGTGCTATTTGAGATTGTCCCCTTCTCTTTTAGGTGTATAATTCAAAACAAAAGAGTGTGGGTTATCTTGTGGGAAAAAGGCATCAATTTCTACCTGGTTCCTTCCATGATCATTACTATCCTGCAGGGAGGAACTTGACGGAAATGAAAAGTAGAGGTAGGATCTAATTTGCATATTTACCCTTCGGGGTACCAGAGAACGGCGCACATTCTTACCCATCGAAGCGAGCTGTAGCTTCTTTCTTAATTCCTTTTTTTTTTTTTTTAAGATTTTTATTGATTTATTTGACAGAGAGAGAGACAGTGAGAGCAGGAACACAAGCAGGGGGAGTTGGG